CCATACATATTTCAACGTTTTTTTTCATTTATTTATTTATTTTATTTTTTTGTATTCATTTCTTTTTAAATCTTATATTTATATTTCCTTTTCAATAAATTAATTAAAATTCGTTGCTTTAACTCTTACTTTCATAATATTTGGAGCTATGCAAAATGGTATTTAGGTTGACTCCTTAATAATTACTTTATATCGTTCGTCCCGTGCTCACCCATAATAAAAGAAAATCAATACTGAAGAAACTTGGCCAAGCAATAATCATAAATATACATATTTCATTTAATAATTTAACAAAATATATATACAAATATTTTTGGAATTAAAATTAAGTTAAAATGATTTCTTCCCTCATTTAGCTGCGCCTCTTGAATTCTTCCACCATTTAAGCTGGCTTCGATTTCATTCTCAATCTTCAGCAAGAGCACAAACACCACATGAACGGAAATGTTAACCGGAATCAGGTTGAAGGCACCAATTTGTGATCGTTTAGCAACGGATTGCTTGGCAGTTTGTCAATATTTTGATTATACAATATAAAGCAGTCGGCGGCAAGTCTAACTGTCAATGGCAACTCGAAGGTAGTATTTATAAACCACTTGCAGAAAACCCTAAAAATATGCACTGCTCTTTATTTTGGTGGGCTTCAAAAATGTGTTTTGGCCCCGTTTCGCTCGAGTTGAACAACCGGGACGGGGCCCGAGGGCTGGTGGAGGTAGACTGGAGAGAGACAGCAAACAGAGCCAAATATTGGCACAGATGTGTGAGCGTGCCGTCAATACATCGGCGGCGACAAACGTCGACCATTTCAGCTATCGATCAAACAGACGCACAGCCAAATTGCCGAGCAGCGGCGTCTGCCGCACAGATTGTTTGCCCTGCGGATTGGAGTCCCCCTTGGGCGAACGCCTCTGGAGACAGTTTGTGCATTCGCACAATTGTTAACATAATGCTGTGGAATTTCTGGCTGGGCACGCCATGGCACCGAACACATTAAAAGCACACTAAACTATATACATATACGCAACCCGGGCAACTMGCCGAAGGGCTGCCCTGCCCTGCCAAGTCGACGAGGAATTGTGTTGTAATAGCGAGTCTATAAAAGCTTTGACATGTGAGCGCGAGCGTTTCAGTTTAACTTCAACACGTTTCAACGTTCTGTCGTCCTGTCATCCGGTCGTGCCCCGCCGTAACCGCATCCGCGACCGTCTCCGGGCCTCTCGCCGTAGCCGCATCCTAACGCCAGCTCAAAGTAAAGAAACAATTAAAGCATAACCGCCAAGCGGAAGGAAGTGCATACCACAAGCGATTTCACTTCACCACTTGCATCCCTGCATGCCCGTACAAGTGCCGAACAAATCGTAACAAAGTTTTAAGACTCGACCCCTCAAGACCTAGTTTCCATTGTGCCCAGCTCCGTTGTGCCCCCTATGTTGGCCTCGCCTCGCTTTGTGTAAAATGAAAACGGAAAACTTCCTCAAGTACGGCGCTCCTTTGTACAACTCGAAAAGTACTCGCGCTCATTCGCAGGCCCAACCGCACACTGTCGGCAACAGTCATCCGAATAGCTTCGCATCTCTGTTGACCAACGAGAACTTGCGGAATCTGACGCCGAACCGCGCATCCGGATATTCCGACAGGGAGAGCATCTGCAGCTTGAGCAGCGCGGGCGGACGAGTTAAAAGGCGATCGAGGTAGGTGCACAGACCTCATGTGCATAATTTGTAACTCAACTATTATAAAATGAGAACTTTCAGTTATTACTTATTAGTATCTAAAATCTAAATGTAATAAATATATTAAATATATATGCAAATTCGAATAATCAGAGCAAAAAGTAAATTTCAAAAGCGCTAAAAGTATGCAACAAAATAAATTGTTATAATTGTTTTTATTACATATTTTGAAAATTTTAGTATATTAATATTTTGATAGGAAAATATTTCGCTACCCGAATTGCTGAAATATGTATATTATTTATTTATTTTTATTTTGTATGGGACACTTTATTTTTAATTAATTTACTGTATACAAAAGTTTTGTGTCTTTAACATTCTTTAACTTTACTAATTGTGTTCTAAATATACAAAATTGGTATAGCATGGATTAATAAATAATAATACCAATAATT